AGGTAATAAAACATTGAAAATATTTTATTTTGCAACCATTCAAAATGGTACAAAAGTTGAAATTATTAAAATGTCTAAAAGCTCTTTTTCTTTCATTGACAGAGGTGGAAATGAGAAAGGATTTCCAAAGCAATCAAACAGTCTTAAACAGAGCATTTCAAGATAATGGTGGAGCTTGCATTAGCAGAATCCATGTTCAGTGTGAGGGCAGACAGCTTGCAGCTAGCTAAGCCACGACTGAAAGGACATGTCATCTACAACGAGACATGTATTCAATTATGGGAAGACAGCGTTTCCTACTTCACAACCATGAGCATCTTGGGAGGCTCACTGTGCCCCTGGTGCGCCTGGAATATGAACTTCACCAGCATCTCCAGAAGCACCTAGTTCACAGTCACAGTGGCTTGCTCCACGGCTGCTGCTGAGGGAGACAACCAAGCCTGGTGTGCTCAGAGCATCTGCAGCAGAGCAGGAAGCGTTAGTTGGGGCTTCCCATTCCTGCTCCTGGAATTGGAATATGCCTTTAGACCTGCTCTGCTACCCTTTGAAAAGCCCTGCACAAGGCTGCTCCCATCCTGAGGCTACCAGCTTGGCTGCCCCAGGGCTGAACAAATCAATTTCTGTTGGCACATCTGTAACTCATTCATGGCTCACCAATTGGGAAGTCCTGAATTAAATAGTTCTGAAGCATGAAAGCTCTGGAGCCAGACTGCTTCGGTTTGAATCCCAGTTTCTCCTCTTCCCAGCTCTGTGTCTTTTGGGTAAGTTAATTAAAATTTCTATTTCCTCGCTTTCTCATCTGTAAGGTCCTGGGCCTTTGTTTACCTTAACTGACTTTACACATGAAGTGCTTTCAACTTTTCCTCAGTACTCAATAAATGTGAACCATGACTGTTACTCTAAGATCCTTGAGTTGAGCATCACTTAGTGACTGAATTTAGATACGGGTTTAATTGTTGAGATCTTTACCCTCCAAGTCTTTTTTTTATTCTCAATCACTTAATATTTATTTATTTATCCATTCATTTAACAAACATTTATGAAGGCACCTATTATCTGCTGGCTCTGGGCTATGTTCCTGCATTCATGGAACTCGCATTCGAGTGCGAAAGAAAGATTTCAAACAAATAACTGTAAATATGGAGACTGAATGTGATAAAAGTGCTATGAAGGAAAACTCAGGCACTACAAGATAATTTAACAGGAGCACTAAATTATTTAATTCTGTTTCAAAGGTGGCAGAAAATTGCATTTCAAGCAGGGGACATGTAAGCGTTGAGTAGGAGTTGTCAAAGAAGGTGGGCAGTATCTGGGAATAAACTCCAAGGCTCAGGAAATAACATGCATAAGCCCTTCAAACATGAAGGGACTTGGTATATATGAGAAGTAGAGAAACCAGTGGGATAGACGTCACAGGTGTTTGTGTGTGGATAATAATGGGCTCAGGGCTTGAGAAATAAGAAGTGGTCAGATCTTATTTGGCACTTATGGGTAATCTCAGGGAATAACCTTTTTTGGAGTCTTGCTCTGTTGCCAGGCTGGAGCACAGTGGCATGGTCTTGGCTCACTGCAACCTCCGCCTTCCGGGTTCAAGCGATTTTTCCGCCTCAGCCTCCCGAGTAGCTGGGACCACAGGTGCGCGCCAAACGCCTGGCTAATTTTTGTATTTTTAGTAGAGATGGGTTTTCACCATGTTGGCCAGGATGGTCTCAATCTCTTCACCTCATGAAGGAATTACTTTTTTAACCTAAGGTTTTGAAGGTTGTTCAGTAGATTAGAAAGATGATCCAAACTGCGGTGCGTGTGGAATGAACTGGAAGG